TATCATAAATTTCTAGTAAATCTTTAAACTTTATCCCCATATGAATTTTGTAGTGTCTAATTTTGGTACCTAAAATAAACATGGTGAATCTTTTGAAGGGAAAAAAGACATTTGTTATAACTGTCTGACTCTAAATATTACCTTCTTTTTCTTTGTGAAGTTTAAGTATATGATCACAACCATTCTAACTTTTGAGCTTCTAGTATTTGCTCTATTAAAATTAGTGGCAACTATAATACTTGTTTTCTTTCAATGCAACAGACTAGTTCTGTGGATGAAAGATATAAATATTTTCTTTATTTTTTCTTTATTTAATATCTGTATTGATATTTAGCAGTAAGAGTCACTGCTAAATACCAATTATCCTACAGTCAAGCCAAACAAAAAAGAAATATACAGATGGACTACATGGAGAGCCACTCTACTTATCTCTAAGAGCTATGATCAAACCTATCATCTACATCATAGCATTGTTTACTTTTGCTGGATTGCTATGTTCTGTTTTGGAGATATCTTGTCATCATTGACAGCACATCAAAAGAGTTTAGGCATTGGCATTCATATGCAGGATATGTTTCAAAGTCTTCCAACAACAGTTGAAACTGGATTAGCACCATTAACTACTTTACATTCATCACTTGACCAGAAAAGAAATACAAATAGACCTGGCTAAGCAGAAATATGGATAATGATTAAAAATGTCATATATATGATGAAATCTAATGTTCAACCTTTCTTGAGTAAAATTTCTTTTGTAAAGTAATGAATTGGTAAAATGCCAAAATCAGGAAAGTACCAAAATATCACTGTTGATATATTCAAAAGCCATAGATGCGGAGGGCAGAAAGAGAGAATAAATGTAATCTGAGACCGACGTTATTTTATTTAAAAAAAACATAAACTGAAACTACCCTTTTTATTCAAGCCAGTATTTTCACCATCTTCATTTCTTAATCTTATATAATTTATATATAACTTAATTCATTAGCCAATGTTTTAGATAAAAGGGAAAGTCAGTCTTAAAATTCATATACTGCTTCATTGAAAAGTTATGGCCAATAATATTTCTTGATTTGTAGTACATTAATATTAGGGGGTAGGTATGTCTCTTATCACAGCATTGTTATGGTAAGTTTTCATAAGATCAAAATACTAAAGATGCAAAAGTCACACAATGATGATGTAATAAATCTATTCAGAAAAGAATGTAGAAGTTACTTCATCCTTTTAGGAAGTCCTAAATGCATGTTGCTATTCAAATTAATGATTTCTTCCAGAACTATTTTTAGAAGCTAAGTTATGTCTTTAAAGGAAAGTCTAACATGGCAGGAAGAGTGGTAAGGGGTTATACTACAGCTGGAAAAGTAAGAGGAAGTCTGCCTCCTACCTAATGCACCTTTTCATAACTAAGTTAATGAAGTAATTCATTATTAAAATAATCATTTTTTAAACCTTTAAATGTTTCAGATTTGGAGATTTTTGCTTGAAACTAGGACTATTTCTAGCTGGAAATGGTTGTGAAACTCATCCTATTTTTGAGTTAGGAAAAGATGAGAACTTGCAGATTTTTCATAAAATTGCACTGAAATATCACATCTTGTAATTTTAGCTTTTTCAAAATTCACTGCATATATTTTGTATTTTCCTCTTAGCTATTGTATGGAAACCTTACACAGAAACATTATGGATTCTGGCAAAACTTTTAAAGAAAAACTTAATTGATGTCTCAGAATCAAAATCTAGTATAACTTCTAGTTTTTCACAGTTTCTCTATAATGCACCACCGTGTAGTGAATGCAAACTGTTTAAAAAAAAATCTAAACCACTAAACAGTTGTTGTTTGCTGATATATATAAATGATAATATCATTACCCATAAATAATATCATTAATGTAGTAAATTACTAGAATGTACTGCTTCAATTTATAGAAATCACAAATGTTGCTTTTTGTTTTACTTTTACATCTAGATGTCAATTTTTAGATTAAATTTTTACACAAGGAAGGAACATATTAAATTTACATGATTCTTTACTGCCAGAGGGAATACATTAAAAATATCCTTAAGGGCAAGTTTTCCCCTTTGAAATCAATGATATGATTCTTCTACTGGCACAGAACCTATAATTAAACAAAAAAAATTACTTAATATATTTTATCTCGTGAGTTTTCAGCTCCGTGCTCATGAATAATGATTATCATTGTGCTTTGCAACATTTTTTTTCAATGCCAGAGAATGAAAATTTGGCAAATAATTTGGGCTTGAGTCAGATATATGATAATAAAAACTATGTTTCATAACCAAAAATGAACAGTACATCTATTAACAGATCATAAAGTTAACTGGGCAAAGAAAAATTAAAGAGTATTCATCAGAGTTTTTCTATTAAAACACTGTTGTCTGTGGGTAAGTCCAGATAAATAGCATGTCAAAGCACACTCATTGTTCTTCTTATCTCATCTATTGTGTATAAAGATCATTAAAAAGTTTCAAACTCATAAAATGCTGTTATAGTGAGAAAACCTGATATTTTGCCTATAGCAGCTTCTTGTGGGTCATAAATGATCTTTATGACCAAATCCCCACCAGATGTAAGGGCCAATGGAATTATTCTAATTTACTTCAGCCAGTCAGCCTGTTCATCTATTACTGATGCCAATGGAAATTTGTGTGTGCAGGCTGCAGTACATGTAAGTATAGGATCCAAAAGAGGCCTTTGCATCATACCCACTTAATTTACGTTTATTGCTGTCAGTACTACTGAGCCAGTAACTGCAACTGCTGCAGTTAAGCTGCAGAAAAATAATTTATGTTTTTTCCTTGCCCCTGCACCATCAACAAAAGAATATAGGAAACACCAGCTCCAGGATTTTTATAATTGGTATAGACTGATAAAGAGTGATGATTAAGGCCGAAAAAATAGTGTGATTTTTAGACAGCAGAATAATCCTGCAGAGCTGGCAAATCACAAGCCTAAACTTGCTCCTGTTCTTCAGATACTGTTCTCCAATTCACAAAACTACATTTATAGCAAAATTAGCTAAAACACGGAGTCATAGTAGCGAATTTTGATACTGATTCATATCCTTGCATCTTACCAAAAAACCCATGGTCTTTGAGGATTAATACTGAATACATGAAAATAAGATTAATTAACATTCAAATAAACCCATCATGCTTATCCTATTGATGTTCTATTTAAATTTTCAGACATCTCTCACAATCCATAAGAAGCGCAATACTAGACTATCGCTTCTGGAAATTTCATTTCTCTGTATGAAATCCTGACTTTTTTCCCCTGGAACATATGATATCCTACCAACTGCATGTTAATTTGGGTGCTAAGGTATGATGTAATGCATAATTTGAGCTATTTGAATGATCACAACAGATGTAAGGAACCAGATTCTGGTGCTCTCTCCATCTGCTTTGGTTTGCTGTGGCTACCTTAATCACCTGTCTGAAGGTCCTTCTGGCATATGGGAATCCAGTTCTGGGATGCCAGGACTGACCACTCCTGCATCTCCCCGTCTTGGAACTGGGTGTGGGATATGGTTGGGGAAAAGTGGGTGTCAAATCCTCAGGAAAAAGTGTCAGTAAAACTCAGTTGTTCAAGGGAACACAGAAACAACATGGACACAACCAAGGAACATATAAGCAAATATTCATGAACAGTCTCTGGAACTAGTTGCTCAGCACTAGTGGCTCAATCTGAAGTGTCAGCTAAAAAATAAATGCCAAAATCTAGAACTCTTGGTTTCAAAATTATACCTTTTATTAGACCGAGAAATTGCAAAAAATAAAAATAAAAAAATCCGTGAGCCTGATGAAGGGCGCATGAGCCCAAAAGCTTGCAGAAAAAGATTTTTTTTTTGCAGTTTCTCTTAAGGCCTTCACAGGGACCTCTCAGAGACTTCACATGCATCTGGAAATTTGGCAGCAGGGGAACAACAATTAATGCTGCCATGGCTGCCTCCCTCTCTGCCAAGTTTCCAAACTTGTGGGGAGCCCTGTGGGCTGGAGGACTGGGGCCAAAATGAGGTTGGAGGCTGGGCCCCACAGCCATAGCTTCATCACTGCCCCATCACTCTGACTGCCATAAGTAGGGTCACCACATGTTCAGGTTTTCCTGGCCATGTCCTCTTTTTGCATCCTTCCATCTCCTTGGGGCATTTTTAAAAAATATCAATGCATGTCTGGGATTTGGGATTTTGCTCTGCTCAGCATCAAAGTTTACTCTAGCACTAGGCTGCAGGGGTGAGGAGGGCAGGGGGCACCTGCTCCTCCAGCAGGGGAAGGGAGCGGGGAAGGGGCAGCAAGGAGCTGCAAGCCTGGGCCATCCCAGTGCCTGTGCTTGTACAGGCAGGGCAGCCAGGAGATGCTTGCAGGGCTGGGGGTGGGGAGCAAGGGGAGGCGCGCGGGAGTGAGGGGCACTAGGAGGGCTGGGGGGGCCTGTGGTTTGGGAGTGAGGGTCAGGAGAGCAGAGAACAGGCAGTGCTAGCTGGGTTGCAGGTCGGGAGTGAGGGGCACCAGCAACAGCAGGGAGGGGAGTGGAGTGTGGGCTGGAGTGAGGGCAGCAGCACGGCTTGTGGGGGCGTGCTATGGCTTGGAAGTGAGGAGCAAGGGCAGAGCAAGGGCATGTCACTGCCCCCTCCACAATCATATTACCACCCCCGCCAGGTGTCCTCCTTTTTGGAACTGGTCATAAGGAATATAGGATGGGATAGCACATTGCCGGCGGCTGGGGAGGGTCACGCTGGGGTTTCATAGAGGGGGTAGTGTGCGACTAGCTTGGGAGGCGCAAGCAAACGGGGACCCCCTCCGTGCTGCTCTGCCCAGACAGCGGCTCAGCCTCCTCCCAGCTCGCCTCTCCCCAAGGGATTTGGGACGAGCGAAGCTCTCCCGGGACTGGAGGGCGGGAGAGGAGCTTAGCCCGGGCCACGTGACCCCGGCGGAAGCTGCCACTCTGCCAGGTCCGGATGTCCGCGAGGTGGGGGTGGGGCTTGCGACGTGGAGGGCGCGCCTGCGCGGCGGTGCGTTCGAAATGCTGGGCGCGCGACGGTTGGCGGCGACCGTTGGACCTGGATGAAGCGCGCGGCGCCGCGCAGTACCCTGCGGGGCCTCATCAAGAAGCACAAGCCGCGGCTCCGCCTGGCCTCTAACATGGAGTTCTTGGTGAGGGGCTGGGCGCGGCGCGGCGCCTGGGGTGGCTCCGGGCACGGCCCCCGCATCCCTTTGCCCAGGGACTGATGCCTCATGTGGAGTGGGGAGAGGGCCTGCGTAGCGGCTGCTGCCCCCAGGAGCTTGCCCTGAGGCCGGGGAGCGAGGAGGTCCGCGCCGGGGGAGCCTGGCGGCGGGGAGGAGGCAGCTGTGGGACCCTCCGCCCTGGTGCCCCATCTCCCGCGGTGGGGCGGGGCCGGCGGGCTGGTCTGTGGCCCACTGCGGTGGGCTTTGGGGGGGTGTCGCCTCCCCAAGGCAGTTGCAGTGGGTTGTGGCACAGGCTGTACTTCAAGAAGTGGCCTTGAACGTCGTTGTGCTAGAGGCATCTCTCCCTAACTACTGAATTGAGTGGCTTCCAGCTTCAGAAACTAATTTAACCTATGTTGCAGCACTCATCTTGCCTAGCCCTGCTGCAGTGGTGGTTGGGGAACGGCCAGACAGAGACAAGCTTGGGCCTGCCATTATCTGTTTATCTCTGCACACCTAGGGTATCTCCTCATGGCTTGTGGTGCTCTTTAAAGGATCTGGTGCACAGCACCGTAGCAGAGAATTGCTGCTGTAAATAGCTCTGCCTCACAGGAAGACATCCTTATGCTGCTTGGCTAGTTCTCCAGAGAGTTCATGCTAAGCAGCTTTGTGGTAAGTATTAGTCACAGCTCAGCGTATGTCAAGGACCATGTGTCATCATGTGTGATGATTGTCACACTTGGATGTTCTTCAAATCAAAATCTTATTGTTATGTCTCTTCTATATCAGTGCTTCCCAACCTTTTCCAGCCCAAGGCACACTTACATGAATAAAAATTTTCCGCAGCACACCTGTTTAGGCATTCCCCATCCTCATACCTAGTGTAGCTCATTGCCATGGCAAAATTCTGTGGCACACCTGTTCATTTCTGATGGCACACTTGTGCCGTGGCGCACAGGTTGAGAAACACTGTTGTATATATCTTTATTTTTATCTGAATGTTAGTTTCAAGTTCTCCACATACTAGTCTCTAGAGTGCTGCCATTTACACTAGATGGAAGATACGATTAAAATTCAAGGAAAAACCTTGTGCAGTACCACACCACTACATTGAACATCCGGTTCTAATTCACCTTGTCATGTTTTAGTAAGAGCAGAGTACAGCCTCCTGCCTTTGGAAGAATCTCTTCCCTTTTCTTTGCAACAAACAGGTTACTGTGTTTTTCTGGCAGGATGCAGATGTTTGTTTTGCTTATGCTTTTTCACATATCCTGAAAATGCTGACTAGAATGGGATGTTTAGTTCAGGGTTGCGGTATTGCAGAATGTCTTTCCTAGATTTCTAAATGTATATTCCATGTAGTGTATATGGTAGTGCTCTGGAAACTGGTATGCGGAGAGCTTGAAACTCACATTCAGATAAAAGTAGAAATATATAATCATGCAGATGGTGTACACGAAATGTGAACAACCTTATCCTGTAACATTATATTTCAAGAACTGTTCTGTTCTGTTTAGAATTATGTGGGATCGACTGTGTTCAGAAGTAAACATTGTACTGATCATATCTGTAAAAATTGTAAGTGTGTAGTTATTTCATCTGGTGCTATAAAGAGAAGATTTTCATTTGTAGAATGTCCAAAAGTGACAGTTTATATGTGATGGTCCTTGGTAACACTTAACCGAGACTAATACTTACCAACTTCCTGCTTTTCTGAATTGGCAAGTAAAACCCAGTTAAGTGCCTGTGTAGTGACCGGCATCGGATTTTAGCGAGGAGCACAGATTCCATAATATGATTATGTATTATGCCTAAGAGGGTTTGAAAACAGTTTTCTGGCTTTTCTACCTGTGCGTATATTTTTCACTCAAATCCTGGCATCCAGAAGGATGGCTATAATGTACACCGTGGATATTGAAAGGGCTAGTATCTAAACAACACTAAACCACTTAGAAATTTGAATGACTATTCACAGCCTTTGAAAAAAAAGATCAGGGTCAGCCACTTCAGTACAAAAGTTGTCCAAGTGGCCAAAATCTGTGCCTGTAATTTCTCTCTCTCATGCTCCGATTGTGGTGTAGGAGCATACATTAGGGCTCTTCTGATAGCACTTTCATGGGTATGATTTTGCAAGCCCTTATGATATTTGTGAAATTTACTATATAAATTCTTACTTCTCACCTTCCTGAATTGCGCTCTCTCAACTTTACATCAAGAGTAGGTGTTGCTTCAGAAGTCACTTCAACACTTGCAGGTTCCACTTTTGCTCTGTTTACTCAGTTACTGTGTTACATGCACTCTCTGTAACAGATAAGTTCTAATAATTTTTAGGTTATCTTTTTTTTTTTTGAGTTGGAAAAAATGTATAAGTACTTTGCAATATGTAGTTATGGATGATTAATGTAATAGGATGTCTACTGGGCAGCAGTGAAGATGCTTAAAGAGGAGATTAATAAGTACTTGAGAGCTGCATAAAAAGTATCTATGCACAGGGCAGGTCGTCTTAAAAGTACGTTTTTATTTAACTAATACAAATCAGGTCCAGACTGCAGCCCTTCTTGATCTAGCTGAAACTACCAAAAGACCTATGCAAATGTTTTAATATAAGCTTGATCTCTGGCTACTCAGCCAGCCCATTGAAAAGAAGGTCTGCTAACTGACTTGTTATATACCATTGCTTTGAATATAGTATTTTCTTTTTTAATATTTGTAGTCTTTCTTTGAAAGGATTCTCTCCCTTTCTCCATCTAGCATGCTAATGAAACTTGAACATGCTAGATGCTGTTTCTGTAGGGTTGATGTCCTCTGTGTACAATAAGTTCCACTGAGCCTTTCTCTGTAGCCTTCTTTTGGAAGCTAGGCATGGTTCTTTGGTGTTAAGTAAACCCAGGTAATTATGTGCAGAAAAATTGAAAATTATGTGCTGGCTTCTAGATACTGCACGTGGCGGCACCGAGCTGGCTTGGCTTGCCTGGCTGGCATGCGCCTTCAAACCAAACTGGGCTGGCGCCATGGCAGCTCTTGTGGCTTGCCGCACTGCATGTAGGAGCTGTGCACCATCAGGTCGGATGGGCTCCATGCCTCCACGTGAGGGCTTTCAGCAACCCTGTGGGGAGCTGCATGTGGAGGCATGGAGTTGCGTGCTATTGGGCTGGGCTAGCTCCATGCCTCTGCATCTGGCTTCCTGCTGGAGTGCTGGAAGCCCCATGTGGAGGCACAGAGCCAGCCAGCCCAGCCCGATGGTACGTGGCTCCCACCTGCAGTGCTGTGAGCGCCAAGAGCAAGGAGCCAGCCCAGTCTGGGTTGAAGGCTTGTGCCAGCGTGCTGCCTCATGCAAC